GTAAATTCCTTCCTTAAATGGCCAGTAGCAAAGGCCGCGCTGATGATTCCCACTCCTAATCGCATCCAAATCTCCAGGCAAAGTCTCAGTCCCGTTCTAGTCAATATCCCAGTCACAACTCCTGCCACCCTCTCTCCGTACCCTTGTGAGCCAAACTATGGTTTTGCAAAGGCCGAACGGTATTGCTCTGTAAAGCTGGCGATAAAGCTGATCCATCTAATTACCGGCCTATAACCTGCCTCAACACTTGCTACAAGCTAATTAGCAGTGTTGAGGCTTCCCAGAGCAGGAATAAAAGGAAGATAGGTTAAAAGTCCTCGAAGATTTATAGCACACCCGTCGATGGGGAGGATTGCTTTTATACCTCAGGGGTCAGTGATTGCTAAGGTGGTGGAAGTTTGACGAGGGTGTTCAGCGTTCTAGCTTCCCAGATCCCCGAGTTATGAACTTGTGCCAAAAAAAATTTAGCAGGCCATTGCTCGCTTATCATGCTTTCCCGGGGGATAGGTTTCAGTGCATTAACACCTACATAGAGGGGGACATCCCAAACTACCATCTTAGCCTTCTCCCCCTTCCGACCACCTGCATTGTTACCCCGCCATCTGAGAGATCATGTCGCGAAAAAAAGCAACTCATCTTCCAATTCGGCCGACTCTCTCGCGAAGTTTTGGTAATTGCTGTCAGTATTTTGAAATTTTTTTTTTAATGGGAATGCACTAACAACGTTTTTCAGGTTGCATGGCTTGTCGTCGACATGTTGCAACATCCGTTCAATGAGCAGCAGCAGCACCAGAACCATCGCGATAGTTTCCGTTCCTATGTGACTGTTTACGAGAACGAATCGCAGTCGGTTTGTGTTTTCCACTTCCGTTATTTTGCATTACATGTGCTTGCAGAAGGAATGAAGCGAGAATTTTTCTGTGAGGGCTAGGAAAAGTGGCAAATTTAAATTTTTTTTTGATGTAAACAGCCATTTTAAAGATCCTGTATGTCATGGATACTCGCGAAAA